AGAAAAAATATGAACTGTGCTAAAAGTAGCTTCTTAGAATACCCGGTATCAGGTACATGAAAGTATTTTGTTCAGCATGTTTCTGTATGCACAGAGGAAAACATGGTGGACATAAAGATACAGCAAAATAATACTCAATGGCATGGCCTACATCCTAAAAAAGGTTTATGTCCTATAAAACAGTCTGTAAAGTGTATCTCAAAGTTAAAAAGGCATATTTCATCTCTCCTAAACTGTAAAATTTTTCAGAATTAAGTTTTGAGTTCTGCTCATTAGGAAAAAAGATCCAGCTATGGAAGGTCCTTGCACTTGAGGAAGTCAGCTTGGCTCTATAACTTATTTTGAGAACACAAAGCAATCTGCGTTGCTGAAATTGAGACCAAAAAAGACATCAAGATAACCATCTGAGATCTTTCCATCTTAGAGCTGATCTACAATAGCACTGGTACAGAAGCTACTGCAGTAGCTCACACGCAACATTGTTTACTACCCTTACAAGTTACCTAAAAAGCGAAGTACTTGCAAAAACTTGCTCCATTAAAATGAACATTTCTTACAGCAGCTTGCCCTTTTAAGAACTGGAATGTGAAATAAAGGGTGAAATGTATCAGTTGCAGATGTTTCCAAAATTAAGCACGTATTACCTAATGGAATATTTTTTTTTAATTAGTGACTAAACTTTTCTTACAGTCTCATTCATTTTTTTTTCTTTTTTATTTCCCAGAATATAGTAGAATTAATTTATCTGAAGAATAAAAAAGAATCTTCTATTATTCCCTTAGAAAGTTGTTTATGGCTAAGAATGTAAAACTCACTTTGTTACTTTCAAAATGTCATAAATGGAGAGAATGCATAAAGCTGTCAGAATCTGAAGAAGATACTGTAGGAATGCATCAACACAAATACAATATGTAATGAATGCTTTTCTCTAGAAACTTTCACAATGTTCCTTTACAGGCTTGTTTGCATACGTTACTTGAAGCGTAGAGTTTGCTAGTCCATTTCTCTAAATTTTATGTCTGACTGACTTTTTTCAGAGTTCTGGTACAGCAGGTAGCAAAATTACAGAGACAGGACTGTGTTAATCATTTAATAATGTGGCTAAAAGAGAAAATGTCTGTTGAATTTTTTTTTTTTTTTTTCATTTAAAAAGCATCTGACCCCAAAACGAGTCTACAAAATTAGTCATAGTGGGTTTGGATCATGAAAGTCAAATCATTAGACTGTATCATTAAACAGAAATTCCTTGATTTTCTTTTTTTTTTTAGAAAAAATGAATAATCAGTGGGAAAATTATCAAGCATTGTGTTTTAGGATACCTGTAAGCCAATACCATCTTCCCAGGCAAAACCAGCAGGTACACTCAATAGCTGGGAGAAAACTTGGGAATGCTTCAGATCATGCATTCAGGCAAGACAAATCATTTTGTTTTATGTACTACTAATTATCGGAAAAAACCTAAGCAAGAAAGTCTGGTGTGGACCACTTCACCTGAAGTAAGAGCTCTAGTAGCTCTAATCAAGTGTGTTGTAATGAGGACAAAACAGTGCTTTCTGCTATTATGTTCCTGGTAAGAAACTGCAGCATGCATTGTGGTACATGCCATTTGATGGCTCTTTGGCACACTTCAGTATAGGTCATCAGTGCTTGCCAGGAGGACAGACGTATTACTCTCATTGAAAGCATGTCATTGTACAAGTAGTATCAATGTGTCATCAAAGCTGGGGCATAGATTACCTGGTAAATTTTACACAGCCTCCAGGGCTTTATTCACAGAAAGTATTGATGATGCTGGTTAAAAAAAAAAAAAAAAAAACATCACTGTGAGGTGGTGACCTATGAGCATGAAGGACAGAAAAAAAAATGCTGAGGTGGCAAATTTCATGTGGTCTTAACTCTCTTCTTTGAATCCCATCTTCAGTGTCTCAGCCTGCCATTAACCAGTTGTATCTTAATACAGGACAAATGTTCCTTAGGGCAAATGGTAGAAGAGCAAAGCTTTGTCTTCCCCAAAGAACATGCAGTTTATTTAGACAAGTGCTATATAAGAACAAGTGTTTTACCTTGTAATCAGTGAGGTTAGCAGAGCAAAACAGAAACAATGAGCTAAAAAGAGAAAGCTGAAGAAAACAAGGTGGGTGATGTAAAGAAATTGTCATGCTGGTCTGTGAGTGGATACGAAAAAGCTAATGAAGGTAACTGTGAGCGGAGCTGTTGTGAGTAAGGTGAAGACAAGTCAGGAGCTTGTAAGGATGATGAGTCTGTATTACAAACTGACTAACAATGGAGAAAGAGTTTGTGGGGAAGGGAGAAGGAATTCCAGTTTCTCAATCACGTGACTGGTAAACACTGCATCATACCCTTGCTGCATTACACATGTGGTTCTGAAAGGGCACACTTCCCTCTTAGACACAAAGAGACCTGTCATAAGAAAAGAGATGCTAAAATGTATTAGAATAAGAGGTAGGAATTTTATCTCTTACTCATCTTGTCAGTCTTTGTATGTTTGCTTTGCTTTCACTGAGAAGTGGGTCAGCAAACCCCTGGGATCCAATTTCCAGAGCTAGATTTTTAATTCATGATGCTTCATCTATACTGGTAAGCTTGCAAAGCCCGATTTACCAGGCAGTTTTATTAAACCACACTGAAAAGCAGACATCTGATGTTTGTCTGAAATATAGACACTGCCTTATTTTTTTTAATTAGTGATCATGTAAGTTAAGCTTCTCAATGAACTAAATTGGCTAGTCCTCCTGAAGAATTTTCCTTGTCTTTTAGGCCTGTGAATTTAGCTCTAACTGTGAAAAGTTAGCCAGCTTGATCAAATAAAGCAGTGGCTGGTAAAATGAAATATGTACTTTTTAACTACTTTTGCCATTGCTTGGGGTTCTTTTTGGAATATGCATGAAAGTGGGTTTATTTTTTGGGGTTTTTTTGTGAAAAAGAGATCCATCCTCTCAACAGAGGCAATAACCTACTTGGGTTTCTCCAATAAACCCTCAAACCTACACACACACACACATCCACACACACCCCAAACCCATGAAAGGCAGAATGAATTTGCCTACCACATGGGAAAATCCCTGCACCGAATTTGTCCTCAGTTTGAGCTGTCTGCTATGTGAGAACAGTTGTAGACTGTGTTATCTTGCAACCTACTCGGTCTACAACCTCTTCACCTCTTCTGCTGGCAGTCTAGGCTCAAACCACAGATAAGTTACCACAGGCAGTCTCTGAAGCAGTTAGTATATTGGGCAATAGAACTGGTCCACAACAAATATTCCTCATTCTCATATTTTCTGAAGTTAACATTCTTTGGATTACTCAGTGTCAGAGCTGTGATATAACCTGTGATACCAGCTGTTGCATAGCTACGGCTGTGCATCCTTTCTTACTTAAAGGTCAGCATTTAACCCCTCCAGCCCCATTGTTTTAGTTGGGGCTGACCATTTTACTGGTATTTTCGTGTTGAAGCTGTTGACACCCACAGCCCTGGTATTGCTCAAGGTAAGTTTAATTGCCAATGGTTTTGTAAAACTCAAGCATGACAACTGCAATTCTTGGAAGAAAGAAAATCAAACGAATGGAAATTGAAAATTGTACTCAAGAGTGTCTCCACCTCACACGAGTCTAAGTGACACCCTGGCAGATTCTCCTGTGCATGCAGGAACCTAGTAGCGTGCCAGATTTTACATAAGAATTCCTGGGGCATGCAGTAAGCCTTGCTGGAATAGTACAGTTGGTGGCAAGTTCTTGGTGGATCGCATACAAAGACGGGAAGGGGTGGCAGGGAAGTGTGAGGATGTGACAAGACAAGAAAATGATTCACAACAGGGAGACATACCAGCCAGATATTCTTCTCTTCTGAGCAGATCCCAACATCCAGTGGTACCTGAATCCCCATCTTTCTATCTTTGTGTCTCCATTGATTTAAAGAGGAAGAGGTTATTTGGGATGGGAAATCTACCATATTCATATGGCCAAAACCCCATTCTGCTCACCAGAATAATAGAAAGTATACTTCTGTTATTTCTGATCTCCAACTCTCCCACAAGAGAGACATGGGATTGCAGGACCCTACCCCTCTGGAAATGTCATAACTACTCACCCTGCTTCTGCTATGAAAACTTGCATCTAACTGACCATGACCACCTTAGACATTTGGGTCCCTTTTCCTATGCACTCTTAACTCCCAGAGTGTTCAAAACATTTGATCTCCTACAATAGTTTCCTTCTTACAAAAAAAAAGACATCCACCAAGAAACCCATTAAAAAAAAAATCCAAACAAAAAAAACAACCATTCTGCCAATGACTAGGCCTCCTAACATGAATGACACAACCAGCAGGAAGATGAACCAATAAATGGGACTGTATTGAATTGTCCAAAAAGGACATTCCATGAACGATCACTGGGGGTACAAACAAGTCAATTAGTTTACATACAACTGACATTACCCCCAACAATCCCAAAAAAGACATAACATAACTGACAATAGGTGGTACAAGCAAAGAACCAAGGTTTCCCATGTTTCATGGAATGGGAAACAGACAGATCAGGAAGTTAAACATATAAGGAAAAGGTGCCCACATGGCAACTCTCACCCGATCAGCCCGTGTTCACAAAGGTCTAAACAGACTGGGGCCCAGCTCCAGGGAGAGTCAGGAGGTCTGCCCTGAACCAGGAAGCTCTGTGGAGTGCACTCCACAGACAGACACTCCTGACTCCCTGCAAGTGGTCCCAGCTTTTATCCCCAAGCAGACACCTGACCTTTGTCAACTCAGTGCAGGACCCCTGGGGCTCATTTCCCTTATGGCTCTCCCTGCAGGGCCGGCCGCCCCCTGGGGGGAAGCTATAAGGCAAACTCACCTCCTCTTTATGAAGGGCTGTGGGAGTCACCCATATGTCAACCTTAATTCGGGGCTCGGGGTTCAAACCCCAGCATTTCAACAAGCAAACAAAAAACGTTGTTGTAGCTGATATTTTTCCTTTTGGTAACAGAAGGCTGGAATCTTACCAACCAGATCCTGAAGAACTAACAGATGACCACCCATTAGACTACCGAAGGGTTTTATGGCATCCGGGCTGGAATTAGCCCAAAGATACTACCTGAGGTGGACAATGAACAACTCTACTGAGTGCCATGATGATCACACCCTGGATAAGTATTTGTTTCCATTTGTGTACAGCATTGTGATGCTGATCAGTATTCCCATCAACTGCATATCCCTCTGTGCAGCTTGCATTCAGGTGAAGAAAAAGAATGAGTTAGCAGTCTACATCTTCAGCCTATCCCTGGCTGACCTTTTGTACTGTCTGATTTTGCCTCTGTGGATTGATTATGCCTGGAATGGAGATAACTGGAGGTTCTCTGCCTTGCTTTGCCAGATTTCTGCCTTCCTTATGTATATGAATTTCTACACCAGCACTGCATTCCTTGCTTGCATCTCTGTTGACAGGTACCTGGCTTTAGTTCACCCCCTGAAGCTCCAGCAGTTGCGCACAAGAAGGTTTTCGTTGGTTGTCAGCATAATTATTTGGCTTCTGGAAAGTATCTTGAATTCAGCTCTATTAGTCAACACTGAAGTATTCAATGATCCTTGCAATTTCATTGATCATACATTATGCTATGATAAATACCCCTTGGAACGGTGGCAGTCATGGATAAATATATTCCGGATAGTCTCAGGATATCTGGCCCCTTTGATAACCATCGTGTTTTGCTACCATAAAATCTACCGAGTAGTGAGGTGCAATCAAGCCACAGTAGATGAAGAAAAAAAAAAAGTGAGGAAACTTATTCTGAATATCACAATTACTTTCATTGTTTGCTTCACTCCTTATCACATTATACTGCTTATTCGTAGCATCAAAGAACTTCACACGACTGACCCAAAGCTTTTGCAGCTGACGTATAAGGTTTACAGAATCACACAGGCCTTAACAAGTTTGAATTGCATCGCTGATCCCATTCTTTACTGCTTTGTGAGTGAAACTGCACGAACAGACATACTGAATTTGCTCAGGTGTTGCTTGTGCCTACAAAAGCATGAAGGAGACCAAGCAAAAGACCATGCTCTGTGCAGTTCTGGTGCGAAGAGCAGCACACCAATCACCTACAGAACTTCCTGTGAAACACAGAGTGTCAAAAATGCCTGAGAAAGCACATTCAAAGCAAAATTGGATGATCTGAATGGGAAAGAAAGGGCCAAGGAGGCTGGACTCGTTCAACCTGGAGAAAAGACAACTTTGGGGAACCTAATGGCAGCCTTGCAATACCTGCAAGGAGGATATTGGGAAGACAGAGCCAAACTCTTCAAAAGAGTGCATGCATGAAGACAAAAAATCATGTGCCTAACTTGAAGCAAGGATTGGAGTTGCTACAAGGAAAAACCTTTGAACTGTGAGAGCTGCCAAGTAGTGGAGCAGGTTGCAGCAAGATGTTCTGCATTCTCTATCCTGACAGGTTTTCAAGACCCAACCCAACAAAGCCCTGAACAACTTGGTCTGGCCTCATAGCTGGCCATCCTTTGAGCAGATGGGTGAACTAGAGACTTCCTGAGGTCTTTTCAAAACAGAATTCTCCTGTGATCCTATGGACTGTGTATGTCACTATTCTGGCTGTTGCCTTCCTTTCTAAAAAAGTATGTTCCCTTCCCTTCTGTGTTTCCATTTGCTGAATTTTGCTTTGATGAGGACTTTTTTTTCCCGTAATACCTTCTTATATATTATGAAGGAAGAAGAATGCAAGCAGCAGTGCAAGTTTCTTCACCACAACTTTGTTCCTGTGTTGACCTATGTATTTCTCAATGTGAAATTTCACTGCAGCACCAGAATAAAAGCAGAACCAAGTTCCTTGTAACTTCACAGAAAAAAAGAACTTGGTGATTCATTTCTAGACATTTCACATGCAAGAAAGCTTGGCAAGTTAATTCTATTGGAGCTTTTAATTTATTTCAAATAATCAGTAATGGAAACTAAAACTAAGAAACGAACTGAGTCAAATTTAACTTGTGCTTCAGGAAGTAGTGAGAGCTGACTGTTTGGCAAAGGACAAGAAGACAGGAGCTGAGGGTGACAGACAGGCAGGGCAGCATCCTTGCTAAAGAGCAGTGCAATCGCACAGCACCCCAACAAGGCACATGGAGCAGGCCCAGTGATGGTAACCGGTGTTGGCCAACAGCTCTGTTATCATCAGACAAATCTGTCAAGGCAAGTCTGAGGTCAAGGAGTTCAAGTCAGGAAAGCAAGATCAGGATCAGCAAGGTGTGAGGCTGAGCATGGCTGCATCATGTCAGCACTGGCCTCCACACAGGCAGACAAATCCCAAGGAAGCAGGAGAAGAGACCACAGACTCTGGCAGTAAATTTAGGGCCCTGACCCTCTGCAAATAGCTTAAGCTGCACAAAATTTGGCCCTGAGATTGTATACTTTCTAATATTCCACCAATGCCCATGAAAGCCATAGGCTGAACCAGTTTGCATTGGTATGTGTGAATGTTTTTCATAGCATTATTTCCTATAGTATCTCCCTGCATTTATGAAGACTCACTTCAGGACAAGAAAGGAAAACAGTGATGGTGGCTGGCCTATAGGGTAGACATCACAAAAATGCTCAGATAAGTTCAGAATCCTGTCACCTTATGATAAAAAAATATAGGTAAATAAACCTGATCCCTTGGGTTATTTTGAAATGCTCAGTCTATGTGTTCAAATCACAACCCTCTGGAAAAATGAGAGAACTTTTAGATGCAGAGGCTAAAATGTCTGGTACTTCAGTCATTTGTGTATTTACCTCATTATTCTTATGTAGCTAAATGTTACACTTATTTTTATTCTCTCCAAATTTTTTTGTCTCAGCTGGAGCAAATTTGCCATATGGTAGTGAACATATATATTCCTTATAAAATCACACTGTTAGAGGATGGGTACTTTTCACTGTACAAAAATAACATAGAAGTAAATGTCTTCATCCAGGATCTAATCCACACTATATATTATTGTTACCAAATATTCTACTTAGAATTTCTGGTGTCTCTACAGGCAAAGAACATCTGCAAATTCACAGGAACTCTTCCCAAAGCAAGGACATTTGTTACAGAAGACAGTTCATAAAATAAATGTTTACTTAATGGTAAGAAGAAATGCATGCTTTCAGATTCCATTTTCCTCACAGACAATGCCTAAAAACATTAATGTATAACCTCAGTAAGTCACTGTAGTTCCAATCTCACTTCCCAATCTCTACAATAAGAATATGGATAATTAAAAGGGCTGTGATTATAGTTCAGTTAATATCCACAGGGTGTGAAATGTCAGTGCCAAATGATAGTGTTGTCAGTATAACAACAGCAGAAGGTATATGTCAGGTGAATTTATATGTCACTAATTTACTTAAAGCAGAATCCATCTGCCAAAAGCCTAGCAAAAATATAGTGCAGCTTCAGAAGTTTGGGAAATTTTCAAAAAGTGCTGGTGACCTAGGTGGTGGAATTTTAGACATCATTTAATCTTTTTTTCCTAGAATATTACCCAGAACCTGCGTCACCATGTTCATGATGAAGATCATTATTCTTTTCTCATGTAGGTACACATCTGCTTTTTTTTTAATGTCAGTGGTGTCAGTCCTGACTCACACAGGGCGACAGAGACTCTTGCCTAGCCCTTTTTTTTTTTTTACTTTTTTTCTTTTTTGAGTCTTTAACACATCTAACTTCAGAGCCACTGAGAGAGGTGAAGTAAAGTGTGAATTTGAGTTATAAGTTTAGCATATTCCACTTCCTGTTTCCATTCATGGAGAATGACGCTACTAAAATAATTCTGATTAATGGCAGTCTTCAGTGATGTCACTCTTAAACTAATGCCAGTAAAGAAGGGGGCATTGGGCCACAGTCTAGCTATATGCCACTTTCCATATTACTTAACAGTTTCAGCAGTGTCATGATCAGTCTAGTCTCTATTTTCTAAGGTGATAAAGGAGCAAACTCCTGCACGGTCACCTCTGAGCCAAGGTGGCATTGGTAAGTAATGCTCCAGCACTGATCAGGGGAAAGAGCAAAACATCTTCTGCATATCTTAAAGATTACAGAAAACAGTAAAAACTCTATCACGCAACATGTAAAAAGCCTGATCCAGGTGAATTACAAATTACAGAGACACTGCCCAAGACACAGCCAGATCCTCACCTGTACCAGCCCTGAGGCACTGTCAGCAGCGTGTGTCACCTGCAGCCTCTCTCCAGCCTGTACACAGCAGCTGGAAGCTGTCCCACAGCATCTCTCACTGAACATCATATATACTAATATATGCACACATATATACTAATCACATCGCTGATGTGGAATGGGAATGATAAAAGAGTGAGAGGTGTGGAACACATGGGCAAAAAAAAAAGTGGGCAAATAGGTCAATCCAGTTTTTGCTCTGTTTTTAAAATTAATTTTGAGTATTTTGGTGACAGGACTACAGTATCCCAGGTTCTTTAAATGGAGTGTGGGACAGAAAAAAAACAAACAACCCACCCTCCCAAAAAAAACAAACAAACAAACCCCCCCAAAAAAACCAAACAAAACAAAAGAGGTCTCACAAGAGCTGAGGTAGTTCTAAGGAGCTGTTAATTTAAATATAATATTTTGAAAAATGTTATTGTTATAGCAACTACTTGGTTAAATATTCAATATTAGCAACAAAAGATTCTTTTATTTTGCTTTGTTTTGTTTTCCTGGTAAAGTCAAGATGTGTTGCTGGATGAACAATTGAGGTGATGACAGATTGGGTACAGAACACCTAGATACCATACTAGTGTCTAATCATATATATATATATGTACAAAACCATCACATTTAGTTTTATCTTCATTATGTATGAATGTAAGTAAACAAATAAGGGTACATTTTATGCCTCATTACAGTTTCCTCTGTGGCTTTCCAGATCATCTAGATGTTGCATACTGCTTTTTGGATAAGATACTGGAGTTCATTTATCATAAGCAATGACTTTCACAAGTTTTTCCCAAGAGCTGGTCCTAATATCCCCAAATTTGTGCTATGTTCCATCCCATCTGAAACTTTATTTTGATTCCTTCTAAAACCTTGACCTTACCTGTTATCACTGTTTAAAAATGTCTTCTCTTTTAACAACAGATGTGCAAAGTAAAGGCTGTTTTTCCAACCCCACATGAAGAATTACATCCAGGAACAACCTTGTTTCAAATTTCTAGCACTTTAGTGTAGTATATTTCTGTCTTGATCTCAGCACTATCTCCGGGGCATATTGAGCTATTGGAAAAATGGTCACCTCTGTTTCCTTCACCTGATAGCTGGTACCTTAGCAGATGTCTCTTCCATTTCAGCCTTCCACAGTCCATCCACACAACAGATGGTTACTGGGTGAGAAGGTGGGCAGCCACTGGCCTCAGGACACAGCTCTTCCCCACTGTTTTCCTCTGCTTCCCTTGACACCTCATGGTTCTGACTAGTGTCCTAGCTTGAGGCACGAGGTCTCACGTATGATGTCTCTAGGGTCTCACAAACTGGGCTGGCTTATGGCAACTCATCTTCCAAGTTCTCTTTTCACCTTAGGAGACCCAAGGACTCCTGAATGGGAAGAAATGTAAAAGTCCCTAGTTCTTAGAGGGCAAGAGGAACTCTAACTATGCCAAACAACTATGAAACAATTCCTGAGATTCATTTTAGTCTCAGAATGACAGAATAAACAAATGGCTTTACCCATCTTCTTTGCTTATCCTCATGAAGTGCAACATACGTAATCCTCAGTAAACTAAAGTTGCTCCTCCTTCTCAGAATGCAGCACAGCAGAAAAACCCAGAGAAGGTCAAACTCTCAGTGACTGCTGATACGTTCTTGCTAACGCCAGGCAGCAGAGGTGAGCCCTCCTTCCTGGGATGCAGGGGATGAGCACATGTCACTGGCAGCTCAGTCAGCGTACATGAACCTGCTACAGGGACTGTGCAGGGTAATTGGCCTAAGAAAAGAGCTTCGTACTGAGATATTGTACAGGGAAACAACACTGCATTCACGTTTGTTCCAGAGTTAGTGCCAGAAACGTGTGAAAGACAGGACGCTGTTTCTTGTATAGCTGCTTTGATGTGATCAGTGTCAGTCTTTCTTCGGCATCTGTATGGCTGTTGGGGCACAATGT